AGAACCCCTAGAATGGTATTCAAGTGTGTGCACGTTATGCTTTGCCCACTTTTCTAAAATCCACATAAGTGGTAAGTGTGCACGTTATGCTTTGCCCACTTTTCTAAAATCCACATAAGTGGTAAGTGTGCACGTTATGCTTTGCCCACTTTTCTAAAAATCCTGTATGGTAAGAGCTACGCGCAAGACTTTGTGCTCTTTTTGAGTGGTTTAAAACCCCGGTTCCGCCTTGGGCACCACTCCTCCTATGTATCCTCTGGATACCTACTTAACAGGGTATTGCTTCTAAGGATCTGTTGAGACAGTTCCTTCACCACATGCAAGCGTGCGGTAGCCCCTGTGTGACAGGCCAAGACTAGTATGATTCTAGGCTCTTGGTCGTATTCCCTTAAAGGAATCTATTTCTGATTCCAAGCCTTGAGTTCTACCCCGGGCCCAGGAGTCTAGCCCTAACAGGTAAGTATTTTTGGGTTATGTAGCCTAGGCCTTTGGCCGTAGGGAGTAACGTCACTGACAGCCGTCTAATGTCCCAGGGGCGACTCCCATAGCAATATGGTAGAGTTGGTACTTAGTGCTCGCCATGGTTCTGGCTTGCACTCCCCTCAGCATGGTGGCGTGGGTATACCGTTCCCCATAGCGACCCCTAGAGGACACAGTTCGAAGTTCCCATGAAAGGGAACGTCTCGGGTTACTTATGTAACCATGGTTCCCTGAGTAGGGAACGAGACACTGCGTCCTCTAGGTTTCTTGCCATGTTGCGGACGAAAGCTTCAGACGAAGAAGTGAATGATGTGTAGCTCCCGGCGCCGATTTATACCGGTAATGACGTCATGGCTGTCACCGGCCAACAAGTTGGTGTTTTTTCAATGTATGCTTCAGACACGGGTCACAACGAGGCGTTCCCCATAGCGACCCCTAGAGGACGCAGTGTCTCGTTCCCTACTCAGGGAACCATGGTTACATAAGTAACCCGAGACGATTTTTTTGATTAAGATATGATTAAGAAAATAATTTTTGCAGTGTGTTTCTTTCTCTAGCAAAGCTTTTGAAATAACTGCCTTAGATAAGCTCACTGTGAAAACAATTCAATTATGCTTCAGCCTCATCTAGAAACTTCCTGTCCACAGCTGATTTGCAGATAACCATCACACACTAAATGGCCCTTTGCGTTGATCCACTCAGCCTGACACCTGTCGATATGCTTAATTACTGCAGCACAGCTAGTTCTAGGACAATCTATAGCAATCGTACTAGTATTAACATTACCACTGCAGTTCACTCAGACTGTCTTTTGGTGTGTGTTGTGTCCTGTAGAGCAGTCACCCATCCACGGCTTCATCTGTGTACAGTCCATCTCTCAGCGTGGAAAGCCAGAACTCCGGAACGCCGCTGATCATGTGCCGCAGTCCCACAGGTGAATTAAGCAATCATACACATTAAAAAATAAACTGAAGCAATCATACACTACACAGCCAAAAGTAAGTGGACACCCGAAAACCAGACCCATATGTGCTTGCTTTTTTGATTGATATGCAATTGGTAATAGTTGAAATAGGGTAGGAACTATTTCATCTATAGCTCATCAGAACACAAGTAAAAATGCTGTAACTTGTTTTATAATTATTGTTAACAAATAAAACAACAAGTCTGATTTTCTTGCTGAAATTGTACTGGAGGCCATCCAAGATCTTGATGAGTTTGTTTCTTCATTGGAACAGATTTGGAGAAATTGTCATTACATCACTTATTCACCAATGGTTCCTCTGCAGTGAATGGGTTTCGTCAGAATGAGAGTTCAAACGGCTGATAGAAACATCACAATAATCCCCAAGTGATCCACACAACTCCAAAGTCCATCAATTAACGTCTTGTGGTGTGAAAAGTTGTTAAGAAGCAAATGCATCACTACTGCCTTTTAACTTTAAACCGTCGCTTCTGGCCAAAATACCAGTCCATAATCCTTAATAATGCTTCATACACTGAAAAAGTCCATCCCCTGTTGTCCTCTCACATCAAAATCCACAGACATATTTGTTTAGAACTGTTTTGGACTGTATTTGCTTGTAAACGGTGCTTGATCTATGCATATTTCTCTCCTGATTCAGATGTGACAACTTCTTCACTGGAGAAAGCAATATTATGGATAGAGGACTTGTATTTGATCTGAAAATGACTGTTTGAAGTTAAAAATTTGTTAACAATGGATTTTTTTCTTACAAACATGCAGCTTTTCACTTCACAAGACGTTAATTAATGGACTGGAGTTGTGTGGGTTACTTGTTGATTTTTGTGATGTTTTAATCAGCTGTTTGAACTCTCATTCTGACGGCACCCATTCACTGCAGAGGATCCATTGGTGAGCAAGTGATGTAATGCTAAATTTCTCCAAATCTGTTCAGATGAAGACACAAACTCATCTACATCCTGTATGGCCTGAGGGTGACTACATTTTCAGCAAATTTTTATTTTTGAGTGAACTTACTTTAAAAACTGGAAAATTAGAAATGTTGAACACTAGAATGTTAAAAATGTTTACTAAAATAAACAAGTTTAAAGGAACACGCCACTATTTTTGAAAATAGGTTTATTTTCCAACACCACTAGAGTTAAACAGTTGAGTTTTACCGTTTTCGAATCCATTCAGTCGCTCTCCGGGTCTGGCGGTAGCACTTTTATCTTAGCTTAGCATAGATCATTGAATCTGATTAGACCGTTAGCATCTCGTTAAAAAATGAGCGATATTTTTCCTATTTAAAACTTGACTCTTCTGTAGTTACATTGTGTACTAAGACCGACGGAAAATGAAAAGTTGCGATTTTCTAGGCCGATATGGCTAGAAACTATACTCTCATTCCGGCGTAATAATCAAGCAACTTTGCTGCCGTAGCATGAGTGCAGCAGGTGCAATGATATTACACAGCGCCTGAAAAATAGTCCCCAGCTAGGTAATAGGAAAAATATCGAAACTCTTTGGTCATTTTTGAGCGAGATGCTAACGGTCTAATCAGATTCAATGATCTATGTTAAGTTGCAGCTAAAAGTGATACCGCCAGACCCGGAGATCGGCTGAATGGATTTGAAAACGGTAAAACTCAACTGTTTAACTCTAGGGGAGTTGGAAAAATAGTGGCGTGTTCCTTTAAGTACTCAAATTAAAACTGAAATAAAAAATGAAGCAATCATACATTAAAACTTGAAAACCCGACCCATATATGATTGTTGAACATTTCTCATTAAAACCATTAATAGGAAATTGATGATTGTTGAAATAGTCTGACAAGGTGGTGTCCACATTTATAGTTATGAGATGTGCATAAACATGAGTATACTTGCATGCACACACATGCTTGCACTTTGGCACTTTAACAAGAAACAAGAACTCACCCAGTGTTTTCCTTAGATGGAAAGAGCAAAACTTCACCGAGGTCAAATTTGAAATTCCGCTTTGACAAACTGAGCCACTCCACAGTAAGTACTGTATCCTCGAATATCTTTTAATATTGACTGGGCGTATTTTGAAATTGGTTTCAAATTTATTTGTTTTATGTTAGATCAGATTAACGACAATGACAATGTTGAAATGGTAACAGTGCGTATGTTACTCAAGGTTTTATAGTAAAAATGCATTTGTTGTTATAAGTCTGTAACAGTGCATTTGATCCTATTTGTAAACTGAATAATGAGATTAGAATTCATTCGGTAAAAATAATCCTTCCTCTTTCTTTCAGGGTCATTAGGTCAGACAGAAGCCACTGCATGGACATAAGGTACTTTGAATATTACAGTAATTACATATCTTTAAGCTAGGTATGGACAGATGCATCTTGAAATACAATCTTGCATAAAAATATAAATCTAAAGTTTTTCTTGGCACTAATTTTATAACCTTAATTAGTTATCATAAAAATTAATGTCGATCAAAAATTTGAAGTGAGAATTTTTTTTTTTAGTAAGTATAGTATATATGGAAAGAATAGAAAGAACTAGTTCTCCTTTTAGTCATCAGAACAAGTAGAAATACTGAAATGTGTTCTATAATGTTGTTAACAAATAAACACAATAAATGAGTCGGGTCATTTCCGATTGAGCCCCTTTTAATGGTAATTATGGATATATATATACATATATATATTTATTAAATTAAGGCTAAATAGAAATATAAAAAAATAATACAAATTACCAAAACAAAATAACAAATAACAAAATTGCTAAAACTTAAACTAAATTTAAAATGAAATTTAAAAATATAAATCTATCTGTATTTATATTGAAGTCAGAAATAGTGGTTATACTTAGTACTTGGTATCACATCATAAAGAAAATAAGTGTCTATCTCAGTTTATATGTACTTTAGTGAATCTGTGCACTCTTAACAGTACATAATTTAGTGCGTCTGTTCTTTGTCTTTCTAGGCAGTGACTTTGAATGGATTTTTATAGATTGGAAGAAAAAGGGACCATTTTTTCTTGCCATTGCGACAGTTATCACTGTTCAACATAATACACAACTGAACACTATTGTTAGAACTGATCCTACAGACACACGAAAAGGGTTTAGAGGACAGAAATGAACACCAGTCTTAGTAGAAAAAGCAACAAACGTCTCTGTTTTTCCAACATTGTAAATGTAGTGCTCAAACAATTGTTGAAACTATTCTTGCCTAACTGCAATCGCTTTCTAGACAGATGCTCAATATTATCACAGCTACATGAAATACTTGAAGAGTTCTCAGTCATTAAATGTTACAAGAGATAAGGACTACAAAGTATCATTATAAGCACCTGTACTGTACTCAGTCTTTTGCAGAGATTACGGGTCATTTTGAGTCTTGTAACACCGCCCATCAGTGTAAGCCTTAAAATACTGTACACTAACTATGCTCTGCTGAGGATTGAGTCTGTTCTTTTATTTTTGAGTGATGTGAAAAGGTCAAATTCACCTTTCTCGAGGGTAACCAAAGATGACGATTGCCAAGGTTTATTTGTGGTAAAAGGGGAAGGGTTTTGACAAAAAAACATAACCTTGCATGGATGGCGAAGACACATTTTATTATATTTTTAAAGCAAAATTGTTCTGTTCATTTCAGCGTATATTTAGTTCTCTAAATAAAGACTTCAGTATATTTGTTCAACACTGGGTTGGCAGATACTGCTAACTTTACTGAACTGATATATTTGCACAATTGAACAAAAAAAAAAGAAATTATTTACTTCATTAAATTTCATTTTTAACTCTTTTAACACACTTGAGAAAGCAGACACATAAACATGGTTCTTATTAATTTCAGACTTGTGGATGTACAAAAAGGTCCTCTTTTGTAAATGCTTCGTTATTCAACTTTGGCTGGCAGAATAATTTTTGAACAATTTTTGAAGGATTTTCTTTTGAAATTTTGTTATTTATTTACATATGTGTGTCTCTGCTCATTCCTTATGATTCTGTTAGTTTTTCAGCGGTACTCAATGGTGAGGGCATTAGACTGCAGAGAGCGAGTTAAATATTCTTGTACAATAGTGACAAACTCTGACATAAAATGTGTTGGCATATATGTTTGTACTGCCATAATTTATTGCTTTAAAAATTGTTGATGTTACGTAAAAAAAAAATTACACAGAGTCAAATTAAAATAATTGAAAAGATTATGTATATGTATATTTGGTTATGGCATGTGCCATTAAGAATTTATTATAAAATAAAATGTATTTTGTGTCAAATACCTGTCTGTTGTGTAAAACATTTAAAAAATGACACCAATTCTGTTTGCTCAGATACATCTCTTTTTATTTCAGGTACAATCTTACATTCTACATACACAAACAAACATCCTACAGTGTTTCTGGAAGAACACCACCATTCAGTATGGTGTTACAACCACTGTATAATAAATCAAAGTGTAACATTGTTAGCATTCACATTTCAAAGGATCCCAAGTCAGGCTGATATCTTTTCAATCTTGTTGACTAACAATTCAACTGTACTGCCACAGTGTTTACAGTCATGTTTGCTCTGGTATTGAAAATAACCCACAGCCACAAGTGAGATAGAAATGCAAGATGTCTTTATGTTCGGTTGAAATGCACAGAGGAATAGACCGTTGGCTCAGACGCTTGTTTTGGATGATCATACAGCCGCCTTGAATCATTCAATGCAACTTCTGCATACACCAGCTGCACAAATAATGACAAGTAAATAAATCGATCATATTCACTGATTAAACAAATCAGATTCTTATCAGAACGCACAATGTACTGATGCACTTACTTCCTTTTTTGGTTTCACTCTAGATGCATCTAGAACAAGAAAATAAGTCATTCAAAAAAAATTATAGTATTTTTTAAATATTTAAAATAAAAAACAATTGATAAGTTGATTGATATATGACACATTTGCAGAATAATGGAGTTGACTCTTACAGGACGTGCAGGGCTGAGGCGGGACAGGGGGTAGTGGTGGATGAGGATCCCGGGTGAGACACCAAACAAATCCCAAAACAACAGGAAAACACATCAAGGCACCAAAACAAAGCAGAACTCTATGAGAGAGGCTTCTGACTGATGAGTCTACTGTCGCTGTCCAGAAATAAAGATTTCATTGTTAGCAATATATAGTATGGAAATTAGGAAACTAAAAATTTAAACATCATTTGAAACCAACAGCTTGTCCTGCATGCATATGTATATACCTGCAGTCACGTTAACAAATGTCACATGTCCACTGCTAGTTAAATTCTGAGGCCAGGTTATCAGGCACTTGTATGCTCCAGCATCTGACTGGTTGATGTTGTGAATGTGGAGTAACAGATGTGTGCTATTGGCTGTTGAGCTGTAACTGGACATCTCGATTCGTTCAGAGGGAGTGAGGAAAGTAAATCTGGCTCTGTCCGGTTCCTGGAAAGTCCATCCTCCAGTCCAGCCAGGAAGCCCACAGTGTTGCACTCCACAGCTCAGCTGGAGACTGCCGCCCTCCGCCACAAACTTTGTAGCACGACTTGCTCGAACAGATAAGCACAGTTCACATACTGAAATGAGAATATAACAAGCGACTTGAGTTTTAGTTAGGCCTATACAAAGCAGTTTTGGACTTTGTACAGACTGTCTTATCACAATTGAGCCCTTAAAGTGACTTTAGTGAAGTCGCGTGCTTACGAGAAACGCGTGAACAAGAAAATCATACAAAATATTACCATAAACCTGAAACCATAACGCGTGCGGATTGCGGAAGCGAAAGTTGCGAAAATGTTTCCACTCTGCAAATGTCACTTTGTGAACGATTACAATACTAAACATTTGTGGGAAAAGTACATTTAAAAGTGCAGCAGATTTAACTATGAATTTGAGAAGTAACTTACCTTTTAAAATACACAAAAATGCCAGAAACGTCAAGGAACACCTGTAAGCTCTTTTCATCCTTTATAATATTTATATATTATCCATACTATCTATCGACTGTCCTCGCAGCTACATAACAGATTCGGAAGAGCAGTCAACAGCCACCTTTTCTGTCAAGGCTGCGGGGACGAACAACAAAAGGTACTTCTAAACTCTTCCTAGCTCCGTAAACACCCACTCTCTTTTTTCACTGCAGGAAAATTGACTCCTCTTTCGGTAATTACGGTACAGATCTGGCAGCCTCAGCCGTATTGTAAATGTGTACTTGAGGAAGGACATGCAAGCTCACCCAATACTAAAGGGAAACCTGTAGGCTATCACATCCTTCCTGTTGGAGCAGGGAAATCACTCTCAATCACTGCTGACATTCCATTATAACTGGACTGAAACTAGGACACAAATGCTGGGATCTAGATAGACTAACATTGCCAAAATGTGAATCTTTCCTTGCAATGTGATTGTGTGGTGTGCCAAGCTGTGATGTGGCAAATTTTGCATATAGGGCACTTTGGGCAGGAAATTAAACAACCCAGAACATGTATAAAGGGCTTTACCCATATTTTTTAAAATGCTGTCGATATTTCATTTTCTTTGTGTTTATGCTGTTTAGAGTGTAGGCCTATTACCATACTACTACATTACTACTACTACTCTTAGTATTTTGTATAAATCTGAACATCCTTAAAATAAGATATATTTATGTGAGAATAAAAAAGGAAAAAAAGAGACATTAAGAAAATATAGAATATATCAGGGTTTTTTTTACTCCACTGGGAAATTATATTTAGATTTATGCTTAAATAAAGAACAGTGCACTTCAAATATCTTATTGGAAAACAAGACAAAAATATTGATTAAAAAAGTTTTTTTTCAGTGCATCAGGGAAATGAAATTCCGAAAACAGTGATTTGCTGTTTATTCGTTTGTTTATCCATTTAATTTTTGAGTCTTGAGTGATTTATACTAAGATATAGGCTACCACAGAACGCCACACTTGTTCTGGCTGAATTATTATTATTAGTATTTATTTAGGTAAAATTGTTGCATGGTGCCATATATAACACTGTCAGTGAAAGAGAAGTTTAACTTAAATCATGGTTTCTGCTGTAGCCACATGGTGGTGCTGAAAGCCAATAGTTTCTCAGCAGCACGCTGGGAAATCTGGACTATAGTTAAAGCAAAAAGGGGCATGTGCAGGCAATTACACAGCTGCTGCAGATAAAAGCCAAGCTTAAACAGAACCTGCTGCTGCTGCTCTGTTGCTTTAAGACAAATTGCCTTCACATTGTCTTGATATGCAATACATTACACTTGATAAATTTACTTGCGATCTCTAAATTAAGTTAAATTCATATGACATAGGCGAACCTCGAAAGTTAAGGTTTCAGATTCAAATCCTTTGAGTATAACCTAAATCCAATGTTTAATTAAAATTCTTTCATTATTTACTCACCCTCATATCATTCCAAACCTGTTATTTCTGTGACAAATGTGGTCATTAACTGTAATATGGAAAGAGTCTTCAAAATATCTTCTTTTTTGTTGTTGTCGTTGCAAAGAAGAAAGTCATACAGGTTTAACAACTCAACAATTTAATCATTTTTGGGTGAACTATCACATTAAGCAACAAATGAGACTCGGGCAGCATTTTGGCAAAGGGAGGCTCCCTCAGAAGGTTCCTTTGAGCTGTGCGATTGTTTCCTGCAGAGAGTAACTTGAGTCAGTGGACCTTAATGGTAACCAGATGTGTAGGACGTCAGTGTGGGCTTACAGTCTCAGGATATGTCTGTTTTTCTTGGAAAGTGAGTGGTACAACACCAACCCTAAGTTACGCAAGAGCTAACAAAATCATTTAACCATTTAGTTGAGTCATATTAATATAAGCTTGTACTTGCAAAATAACTTTTTTTCATTTACGGCCCTTTTACAGGTCTGAAAGTGAATCTGATCTCCAATCTTTCTTATTATTTGAAATCAATCTGAAACTGGACAGTGACCACCCAGGAATGGGCAGGAATGAGTGTGTGCTGGACCACTGCTGGCCAACTCACATGGCTTAAAACAGATAAGTAAAAGCAAACACTCATGGGTCTGTGCTCAGGAGCAAACAACAGTGACTAAACTGGCAATTTTGTCCATGTTTTTGATGCATACAGTGTCATAAAGAACAAAGGAATTAGCTAATGCTTACAGCCATGTACTGTACAAATCATTTTTATTCAAAAATGAAAAGGCAGATTAGTGTCCTCTGAATGGTGCAGTCCCAAGAAAGAATGGTTTCTTGGCAGTACAGATTGCTCCATGATCAGATTACTCCATAGGCATTTCCTCAGCCTTCACTGAATGTACAACAAGGCTCTTTTTTCCCATAGTGATCATATAAGCTTGTACTTGCAAAATAACTTTTTTCATTTACGGCCCTTTTACAGGTCTGAAAGTGAATCTGATCTCCAATCTTTCTTGTTATTTGAAATCAATCTGAAACTGGACAGTGACCACCCAGGAATGGGCAGGAATGAGTGTGTGCTGGACCACTGCTGGCCAACTCACATGGCTTAAAACAGATAAGTAAAAGCAAACACTCACGGGTCTGTGCTCAGGAGCAAACAACAGTGACTAAACTGGCAATTTTGTCCATGTTTTTGATGCATACAGTGTCATAAAGAACAAAGGAATTAGCTAATGCTTACAGCCATGTACTGTACAAATCATTTTTATTCAAAAATGAAAAGGCAGATTAGTGTCCTCTGAATGGTGCAGTCCCAAGAAAGAATGGTTTCTTGGCAGTACAGATTGCTCCATGATCAGATTACTCCATAGGCATTTCCTCAGCCTTCACTGAATGTACAACAAGGCTCTTTTTTCCCATAGTGATCAGACCAGGTCTTCTGAGGTTTCTTGAATCCACGCTGCAGAGGTATGCAAAAAATTACAAGAGTACTGTATGATGGTATTGCACTAATGCATTACATGGAATGTAAACATCATTATGTGGTCAGCACCTCTCAAGGGAGTTTAGCTACATTAAATGGCCTGTTCTGACACAAAACACTAACCCGGTTGAGCGTGACGAGTGAACACAGAGCTTGGTGTGTCTATTCTGGTGCACAATAAAGCTTTTCTCTTGCACACAGTGTTACAGTGAGAAAGCCTCTATTGTGTTGGTTTTCTGATACTGTGAGACTTGCGCTTTAACAAAAGTCTTTTAACAAAAGGGAATGAAGATGACTGTACTGTGTGTGACTCCAGCAGCAGCTTGAGAATGAAACTTCTGTGCACTGCAACACACTTAAGCATGGAAGACCGTTTCCACCGCAGAATAAAAAAATGTGAACAATTTATTTCACAATTCAGACATTTTTTTCTCACAATTAAGACTTGTTTTTCTCTAAACTTTGAATTGTGAGATACAAACTCATAATTAAGAGAAAAAAAGTCAGAATTCTGAGTTTAAATCTCCAATTCTGACTTTTTTTTCACAGAATTGCAAGTTTATGTCTCACTGTTCTGAGTTTATATCTCCCAATTCTTCACTTTTTCCTCAGAATTGCATTTTTTTTTAAATAACAAATTGCAATGATCTTTTTCATTTTTTATTCTATGGTGGAAACAAAAACAGAATTGTGAAATATAAACTCAGAATTCAGAGATGTAAACTCAGGAGTTTATATGTCGAAATTCTGAAAAAGGTCAGAATTGTGAGGAAAAAAAGTCTGAACTACTGAATATTATAGAGAATATTTAGAGCAAAAATAAAATTCACATAGATTAAAAAAAAAAACCTGGTACTGTGTTAAGGATGTGAAATCCAGAGAAATATGTCGTTTGCTTTTTATGTGGTGTCTTTTTTAAAGCATGGTGAACTAAATATCAGCCAAGAATAATTACTGGCCTGCCGTTGTTTATTCAAAGAAGCACATGAGAACTTTAATTTGTTTGTACTGTATACACAGCCTGATCTCATGGGAAACAAAACAATATTACAAGGTGGAGACTTTGTATGATGTGAATCATACACATTTGAAAACATAAGAATGAGATTGTACGAATTCATATGAATTAGCACATCAATTCACCAAACAGTAAAATAGTTACGAATTGCCATGAGACTGTGTTGGTGTGGATCATCTGAATCGCAAATCAATAGCAGCATGCTGTGAAACAACAAGCACTGGTATGGCACTTTGTAAGAATGCTTTTCCAATGAAAAATTCATGAGATTTTCATGGGTGAAATGTGACCATGGCTGCATTTTTTCCAGGCTTCATTCCGTTTATTGTTTGCATTCTGGTTCCAGACATTGAACCCTTTTAATCAGACTCAAACTCAGATTCTCCTGTGCTTTTAGTTTGTGTCAGGTGTTTGGCACATTGTCTTTTTTCTAGCAATAAATATTGTACTTTTAGCCTTGAATTAACTACAATGGGAATCTGTGTTTGAGAGAGTTTATTAAGACTAGAGGATTTAACATTGTTTGTGTTTACAAGTGGAGACTGAGATTTTTTATTAAATGAACTCTATACACTAGGGGTTTTCATGTCAACTATGGTTCTTTTCCTAATGGACTGCGGCTCGAATTGATTATGCCATATCAAATGGTTCACCTAAGGCCCATTTAATTTCTGCCCTTATCTAAAGTGAGAGCAGGTGATATGTGACACTAATAGATTTATCATGGCTTACATGCCGTATATTACACAGAAGCAGGAGTACTCACAGTAATTCACAGAAGTTCATAACCCAATGAACTGTGTCCCATACGAACTGCTTACATCATCATGTCTAGTGCAACCTCTCACATAGTAAGGCAAGTTGATGCCTATGAAAGGCAAGGTAGATAAGCAGTGTCTGTCCTAAATCAAAGTTAGCAATTCATTGTGACCATGTACGATGTTCTGTTAATGCTGGTTTGTTTGGATTTGTTAAGTAGGTCACTATAGTACAGTTGACTTACCAATGTCAACAAATGAGTAATCAACGTCTCCTTTTGGGTTTTTAAAAAGCTATAATTTTTAAAAGAATGTAAGAATAAACATAGAATATCTCCTATTAAAATAGATTGCTAGAATCTTAATCTTTCAAAATTGGCAGCAATGATGACATTCACACAGAATGTGTTTTTGTGTTTAAAAGCATGTGATGTAGCGTTGCGGCATGGCAAAGAAAACAGGATTTTCTGCAGTTTTTCTATGTAAACATGCTAGATGGATGACTCTGACTATTGCACATGTTAAAAGTTTAACTTAAAAATGTTTCTCTAGACATGCCATGCGTCTGGTGTTTTTACATGCAAAAACGCATTAACCCTTCCGAATATATGCATACTACTGGTTTGCAATTGGTCTTATTTTTTCTTTTCATTCCTTTGCATACTAAATTGTGATTGGACTTTTTATTTACAAAGAGCCAAAGTTAATCTTTTGCTGCCTTACAGCAATGGTATTTCCTTCAGGAAATGCTAATCTAGTTTATTTTAAAGGATTTTGCCTTCTTAAAATTGTGTTTTTGAGAAATCACAGAAAATGGGTAGAAAGTCATGATAACATTCACTGACTGTTTGTTCTTGTTCCTCTTTGGCCTGTTTATTTATATTACTTATTTATCCTGAGCATAGCAGAGAGTGCAAAGTAATGAAGAGAAAGTTGAGCTGTTAAGTAAACCTTTTTTTCTGCTAAGCTTTTGTGTAGAAAAGAAGAGGGGGATCTGTCTTTGGCATTAGTCTCCTAGAATTTCAAAGAGCTGGATCTTGGCAATAATTCAGAGCAGCTAAGGGGATATATGAATACTTGGTCTGTGAGGCCTAAAGCCTGACAGGCTGAAGTCATCTGTTCCAATTCAGCCATCAAGTCTTCTGTTCGCCTAAAACGGCTGTCCGTGGTTAGTATGAGTGAATGGATAATGCCTTATTCTTGTAAAATAAGTGTAGGGTAAAACACTGGGTGTGTTTTTTATGAACAAATCATGGCTGTCTGAGTGTGTTAGACTGAGGAGAACCACATTAGTGAGGCCTGTATTATGACTAAACACACTGCATGACTCAGAAAGATGTGCCGAAATGCACGTCGGCCCTGGCTTAACTTTGGAAGTTTTGATACAGTTTGGGGAAGTGAGCTTTAAATCACAAAACTGAGCACAAACATACTGGCATATGAGTAAATATTTTTTTAGGAGGAGTATAGGTTTGTACAAACATCAACCATACCTCGGCTCACATGATGAACAACCATCATGCTTATTTTTTTTTTTTAGTTAAACATTAAAAGTGCAAAATGTCAGCGCAACCAAGTAAACGTCTGTGAAATGACAATGTAGGAATTAGAAAGAGATGTGAACTCAATGTTACATTTCCCTCAAGTGTCAGTCTACGTGATGTGATTTTGTAGTTTGTAAATCATATTTTAGGTTCAGTATTAGGAGAACAATATAATGCAATAAATTATATTATAATGCAAAATGTACATTCCGCATATTGTATTTTATCCTTTGTGCTTCTGTCAAAAATGCCCCACTTTCAACCAAGTAAAAACACTTCAATTAAATATACCAAATTGTATTGCCTTCAGTGTTTAAGGTCAAATCATTATAAACCTTCTGAAAATATATACATTTAATTATGGATTAGTGTAAACTGTACAGCTTTTATGATCATTCAAAAATGATGACATAAGGTCATGAGGGGCATCCAAACATTAGAAATGTATTATTCCAAAATACTTAATGAATTACAATTTAAGGCACCATGACTTCTAAACTGACCTGCAATACTGGTGTTTGTACAAAGTGTTTGAATACACAACTTGTGAAACTTTAAGACTTAAGAAAAAAAAACACACCACAAATCTCAGGTTACATATTATTAAGTGAAATGTAACTAAAGTGCATGAGTCATTGTGATATACTGTGCGTGCTTAAATGTGCTCAACACGTAAAATAAAGGACCTTAGTTGACATAGTATGTGCAAATATGATGCAATCTTGAATTACAAAAAATAAAAGATCTTATGAGATACTAAAAAGGCACAGAGATGAGAAAAGGATTCTTTCTTGGCACTTCAGGCTCACAAGATCATTCCTGCGTTGTCACAGGTAAGTATATCATTGGGTTTGGCTTGTCCAATCTGTCTGTGAAACTGTCCTTGCTTGTGTGTCTTCCAGCAATGCACATTTGGACCTAAAGATATGCTCTTTATGCTTGGCATCTGGGTAAAGATGGTCCTTGATAATGGTGTGACAGGATTATGGGACAAATTGAGCTCTTGTAAAGAGACAAGTCCACTAAATACATCCGGGCTCAACGTCTTGAGCCGGCTGTTGTTTGACAAGTCTAAGACCTGTAGGTTCTTCAAACCTCTAAATGCACCTGGTTGAATGAGGGTCAGGTCGGAAAGGCTGCTGAGAGACAGGTGAATCAGTTCTGTCATTGAATCAAAGGCCCCTGCATCAATGCTGGAGATGAGATTCCCATCCAGGTTCAGATACTGAAGTGGGATCCTGTTGAGCATCGGCACCTTCCTCAATTGGTTCCCTGCCAGCATAAGACTCTTGATGTTCAACGGATGGCCAGGCGTCTTCCTGGAAACGGAGGTAAGAAGGTTTCGCGACAGGTCCACCATGATTGGTACATCCTGTGCTCTGGTGGTGAGCAGATCAAGGCTAAACTCTTTGAATCGGTTTTCACTCAGGTCCAGCTCAACCAGAGGGAGTCCGGTGAAGCCGCCATCGCCAAGATCCTCAAGAGCGTTGTTGCTCAGGTCCAACGTCTCAAGGTAGCGAAGTTTAGAGAACGCTTTGGGACTGACATGTGAAATGAGATTGCCGCTCAGGTCCAGACTAACCAAGGTGGTGTAACCCGGTCCGGAGAGCATCGAGTCGCTGATGGAGGTGATGGAGTTTAAGGAGAGGTCGAGATGGGACGTGTCCAGAGGGATGGGGACAGGAGCGTTCCCGGGGCCGATTCCACTGCAGTCCACTTTGGTAAGGCTGAAACTGTCGAAGAGGCCGAAGCTCTCCACCTCACACCGACATTGCGGATGGCAGTTCTTCACTGCTCCCATGACAGCCAGGCCAAGCAAAGAGAAGAAAAGACACAGCAATGTGGCCATGGTGAGCTATAAACAAAAAAAAACACACAGTACACGGTTTAATTTCACAGTCATAAAAGTATCAAAACAGAATGAACCAATCAAAATCAAGTGAACGTCAACATTTAGTTCTCAGTTCACCCTGGTGTTTAGTTCCTATAACCAACCAGTGCGAAATCTCCTATTATCGTACACTGACATGGATGCTAATATCGTTATTATAGTTACCTTGATAGTTATTGTTCTTTACGTGACCTGGCCTTAAGGGTCTGGCATTCCATGTTACCATCAAAACAGAACCATAACCCACTTCAGTGGTCTTTGAGAGGTTTGAAGAGATTAGTCGCTCATTACATATGGTAATTTATATGCAGCTGGACGTACATGCTTGTCACTCTGGGTCTGTGTTGATTCATTCGTTACGCTAAAAGTATAAATATTCTTCCCTTCTAGTGCAACTTGATAAGCCCTAATTTTTACGCACATTCTCAAAGGATTTTACCTAATTCTTATGATCAAAGAACCTATTAAATTTTAATTTCTCAATTATAGCAACAATTTGTCATGATTACAAGGGTGCAAGGCTGTTCTCATGGAGAATTTAAGGACGGTTAACACATAATCATTCAGTTAAAGAATATTAAGAAACTCAAAGTCTTTGATGCTTTAATATGCTTTAACAAACCAGTATTAGAAATTATTAAGATAATTCACTTATTAAATTAATGAAGTTAAATTATAAAGTTAAGTTAAATTATTAATATCTATAATATCAGTGTTATTTGTGAAAGAAATAAATAAATAGAAAAAGCTGTAAATCTAAGTCTATATTATAACTATATGGTAAATTCTGTAATAATAATTTATCACATTCAAATTTGTAATTCAGGTTATTCAAAATGAAAGTAAATAAAATATTAATATAAAAATGATATTCAATTTAAATTCTATCAATAAAAAGCCATTACTTCAGTCTTGAGTGTCACGTGATCCAATAGAAATTATTGTAATATGTTGATTTGGTGTTTACACAACATTTCTTATGGTTATCAATGTTGAAGACAGTGCTGTTTTAATATTTCTGTGGAAATAATGATACATATTTTCAGGACTCCTGATTAATACAGTTCAAATAATAAGTTCAAAAGAACAGCATTTATTTTAAATAATATTATATTTATTTGAATAAATGTTATATTTCACCCTTGCTGCATTAGTCTTAATTCTCCAAAAAACTAAAATAAAATTAAATAAATTAAATAAAAAATCCCAAACTTTTGAACAGGTGCATGTGTGTATATATATATACTGAAACTCCAAATACGTCTCACTGCAGCTGAATAAACAGAAGATTCAACTGCTTTCATTGATTCAACGTGACTAATAAACACACGACTATGGCAATATACGGTTTATCTTATTATTATAATTTTCATTAAAATAAAGTATATTTATAATGCAATGCCTTTATCACTGCTTAAATACTATGAAATATGTTGCGTGCCTTATTCTGTGTAAGAAGCCACATCATCTCACAGAAGGATTTATTTCAAACACTCGACTGACATTATGAAGTGAGTTTGGAGTAAAAATATGTTATTAAATGTGGTATTTTCACATGCTTTCAGATGGAGCAGCATTTACTTCACAGAGCCGTAGTTCACCGAGAAGCTATGCAAACAGCTGTCATTATCGCAAACGATTTCTTCGATTTCAGAATCGCGCAATAAAATCATCTGCGATTTTTTTGCATACCTTTTCAGTGAACTACGGCTATGTGTAGTAAATTCTGCTCCATCTGAAAGCAAGTGATGATGATTTCCTGCTGATTACAGAACTGGCTTTTTTTAACAAAATGCGCATGACAATCACATTCGATTAATCGTGCAGCCCTAGTGAGTATATATACAATATATATATATAGCTTTCATGATCAATAACTTGTATTACACATGTAAATAACCTATAAATGATTGCTAAATAAATCATTACAGCATCATTATACGCATAAATAACTGAATCTTGCTTACGCGTTTTCATGAAGTACACAGAAGACCTTAAAAAGTAGACAGAAGATCTATGTGTCACGCAGGTGGAGATTCTCTATGACTCCAGCTGAACTCTATAAATGCTCTACTGACAACTTTTGTTATCGGACTGCCCTACCATGTGCGCTTTGTTTAACTAAACGACCTGAACTTAAACCTATTTCAACACTTGGCTCCAGATCTAAATACAAACAATACTGTTGAATCTGGGCATGGGTTAACCTGATTACAAAACAAAACAGGTTCACACAAATCATTAGAACGAAGCAGCAAAAACGACTGAACATTAATTTGTAAGATTGCGTGTAGTAGTATGTATAATGATTAACAGAGCCAGCACGCTAAATAAACAATTACCTCTTATTTAACTGATTGAATAATAGGTACAATTAAAACACTTAACTTAGTGTGTACACTGACAACAATTTAGTGAGATATAACTATTAATTTCTAATCTGTTACTAACACAATAGCAGACATGCTATAAGAAAGTAGTTCCCCAAATTTTTTAAAAGTCTTTGTGACACCCTAAAGTGCTACTTAAACTTGATGAATCTGCTTAAATAGGAATATTTGTTAGGGATATAGACACAGACCTGTAACCTCAGGTATGTCTTTCCTTTTCTGCTCTGGTGACAAGGAGAGACAGCAGCTGTGTTCCTTCTCAAACTGCAAGTCCCGCCCTACTCTCTTCTCAAGACATGAGCAGCCAGAGACATTTGGTCATTTTAAAGAAATAGTTCACCCAAAAATGTGAATTTGCTGAACATTTTCTCCCCCTCAGGCAATCCAAGATGTAGATAAGTTCACCGAAACAGATTTGGATAAATTTTGCATTGCTTCACTTGCTCACCAATGGATCCTCTGCAGTGAATGGGTGCCGTCAGTCCAAACAGCTGATGAAAAAGTTGCATTAATCCACATGACTCTAGTCCATCAATTAACATTTTGTGGAGCAAAATTCTGCATGTTTTTAAGGAACAAATCCACCATTAAGATGTTTTTAACTTCAAACAGTTGCTTTCTGCTAAAAAGTCGTCTTTCTGAATCAGAAGAGAAATATGCACAGATCAAGCACCATTTACAAGCAAATACAGTACAAAACAGTTCTAAACAAATATGTCTGTGGATTTTGATGTAAGAGGACAACAGAGGATGGACTTTTTTCCACAGGAGGAAATGTTATTATGGATTGTGGACACATAGTTTGGCCAGAATCAAAGGTCTAAAGTTAAAACATCTTAATGATGGTTTTGTTTTATTCAAACACGCAGCTTTTCATTTCACAAGGACTGGGGTCATTTTTATCAGCTGTTTGGACTTTCATTCTAACGGCACCCATTCACTGAAGAGGATCCATTAGTGAGCAAGTGATGCAATGAAAAATTTCTCCAAATCTGTTCAGATGAAGACATCCTGGATGGCCTGAGGGTGAGTAAATGTTCAGCAAATGGTCATTTCTGGGTGAACTATTCCTTTAATTGAAATGTCTCAGACTGTTTGTTCTATCAGTGCCTTGCAAACGCACTAAAACACTTTTCTACCAAACTTTTTTAAAATATTGAATTAATTCTGTATTGTCAGATTGATTACTCATATGTAACAACATTCAAAATGATTTTCTGTCAAGCTTGTGATTGCATGTTTCTAAGTAACCATACGTATACATCTGCCCGTGTGACAGGGGTTATGAACTCTCCAGGTGTTGTACACCTCCCACTGTAAAATCCCTCCTTAAAATGCCTAAAGTCTAAGTGGACTGTATTTTAAGAGCAATCACTGTCAGTGGTTAACAGCTACATATTTAAACCATTTATCTTTCTCCAAAATGTGGGAAATTACCCTCATAGCTTCCCTTTCGGTGAGTCTGAGAGACTCACCTATGAGTCTGCATGAAAACAGTCGAGCATTAGAATGCAGATCATTCTCAACTTACTTTATCTTTCTGCAATTAACATAGCCAAAAGAGAACTACAGTACAAGAGAACTAAAGTCGGTTCTTAACCAATTTAATTAGCAGACATCCTAATCCAATAAAGCTGAAAGAATGCAGTACTTTAAGGGGGTCAGATTTAATGGGAGCTTTAACATCTCAAACAGCTCACTTTTGAATGCCAGGTACTTTTTGTGATGCTGACTTCACAACAGCACGTAACTTTTGAATTACATGCTAGAGGCATGCATCAAAGCGTTCAACAAAATGTTTATGGGTGTCGACTACAGTACAGCTGACATAATGCAGGTTGCCACCCATATACTAGAAAACAGATGAACAGCTTTATCTCAATTCTAATGCATTAAAGCACTTGTTAGACTTAGAACAAGACTGTTAGACTTCCATTTTTAATTCAACTGTTCAAGTCTACTGACAAATGGCACCATTTGGTGGGTGTCTAAAGCATAGTACTTAATGCTAATGCCTCTTCCTCCAACAGGAAACAACTAAATTACTCAATTGTGCTTTTCATTCAAGTGAGAAAAGCAGCAATTTAAGTCCAATTGTTAAATAGAACCCAAAACAAAGATGAAAATAAAATGATGAAAAAATACATTTTTACATAAACAGCTATGTTGCAATTATTGTTATAATATGCCATAAAAATATTATTAATAATAGTTATTATTCTTAAATAAGAACGTGTATTACTTAACGTGTAGTACAAAGCAGAATAAAATAACAATTAATAATTATTTCTTTTAAAATGTCTGTGCAAAACAATATTGGTTGATTCACTGTAAAATGAATTTATCTGATAACTACTTTGACAGAATTTTGGCCATCATTGGTGCTGTCTAGGTAGGCAGCTGACTAGGTTTTGAGACCCAAATCTCTGCCTTCATGGTCTGAGCCACATCTGTATTCATTTAAAAATACAATCGCAAATAAACGTTGGAACAACTTGTCAATGCTCAACAAATGTGTGCGTTTCACAGCACCAGAATGTAACAATATGCAAGTTAACGTTACTTCCATTGTGTCTTTATTTTTCATTACGCGAACTACTTGAGATGAAGCAATCAGCAGGCATTTTGAGTTTGTCAAATAAAAAAGGCAGTACAATCCAATGCCAACAGTAAGTCACGTTTGTGAGATACAGGAGAAAACTTTTTTTCTTTTTGGTAAAACTTACCATGTGCCGCGACACGTCTGTCGGAGAGCTTTTACTCTTCCAGGCCAGCATCGGAAAAGACTCCAGTTTTAGGGGTTGTCATATCCTGTGCTTTTTGTAGTGGGGCGAATGAGCACGTCTGCGGTATTGTCTTGGTTGGGACTTTGTCGATCTATCGGTTACAGACTCGCCGCAGAAGATGAAGCGATAAAACGCCACCGCAAGCACAGTCTCGTCTAGAGTTTCACTCGCTGATGATAATCCGCGCCCACCAACGTCTAGACGCGGCGAGTAACAGCGCCCTCTAGCGGCGAGTATATAACACTACAGAACATTTAAATGTAAACTGGAGGTCGAAACTCTTCTGACATTTTCTTAATGCATCCTAATATGTTAATGTTTTTATTTTTAAATTAAACCAATAAATAATAGCTTTTATACTGTCTCTGTTCTGAAGCCAAAACAAATTATTATAACGTTTTCTAAAAAAAAGGCATGCAGGCAAGTCTAACGTGAGAAATAACTATGTGTAACCATAACATTCTTGATTTGACTGTTTGAACAGCTCTGTAGAGGCTTTACAGATGCACATTCATAAAGAAGGTGGTCTTTTTTTTTCATTTATGCACCATGTTCTTGTAGCATTTATTTATTCATTTACAACTGTTTGAATGATAAAAAATAGTAACAATAAAAGAAAGTTGATGTATGTCAGTGGGTTCAAATCTATTTATATAGTGTTTTTCACATTAAATATTGTTCTAAAGTAGTGTTTCAAAGAATAGTGCCCTTCAAACCCTAATAAGTAAGTTATTTTCACTGTTAAAAATGAAGGTTGCAAACAACAGAATAAAACTAATCATGATTAGTCTTGTACTTTCCCATCAGTCTTTAGAAAGTGGAATTTAACAGTAACAATATCAAATTTAATAAATGTAAAAAAAAATAAAAAAACTTGAGCTAACATGTTAAATGCTGTCAAATTTTCTCATATTTTCTATATGGACTCCCTTATGGGCCACTGCAATATACCACTAAGATCATATTTTGTGTTTTCAAAATGTGAGTTGTCAAATAAATCACAACTCATTTATTATTAATATATTCATGTTAAAATATAAACTTCTACAATTTAATGTTGAAGGTTACCATCATACAACTTCAGCTTAAATTACATCTGTAATGGTAAGCGTTTACTAAATTTAAGGAATAGAAAAGCCCCAAAGATGTATGCAATATTATTTGTATTTATATTATCACTATTTTGTGGTTTTCAGGTGGATTTAGGTCACAAAGAAAACCTTTGATTGTGAAATCGGAGTTCTTAAAGTTTCTTTTGTTTTTCTGCTCTCTGCAGATTTTTATAACTCGTAGAAGTGAAACTAAAGAATAAAGAGAAGGAGAGTATAGGAAGAAAAAGAGGACAATGACGATTATGCAGGAACTGCATAGTTTATAATATGTTCTAAAATATCAACTTAAAACAACCTCTGATCTGAATGAGGTTGCACGTTTAAAAGAGTGCAGATTTTTTTCATCCACTAGATGGCAGTACAATAAAACTAAAACAATTGTCTTCAAGGAGTCCACATTTCAATGAAGAGAGTAAAACTTTTTAGTTATATATTCACAAATATTATTAATTGTACCACAGATTTTAGAAAGTATATGAAGTGCATCTTCAGCAATGGTTAACTAACCAATCAGCCCTAATAAAATTACAGATATGTCCATTCAAACCCTGTACATGTTTCAAAGACCAAGACATTTTGGTTTTGTTTCCTTTAGAGACGGTTATTTAGTGCTACAGAGTGCTTGAAATATTACCTGTAAGAGCTTTGGGTGCTGTTTGCTGAGTTTGCATCCTCTGTTTCTGGTTGTAGGGCAGAGGTGTCAAGGTGTAACATTTAAGAAGCTCAGAGGCTTATTGGATATGGGTCAGCACATCTCTCTCGCCCTCCTCCCTCTCTCTCACTCTCACTGCACATATCACCAGAAAATCTCAACAGTAACCTGAAGGCAAACGCTGCATTAAGCAAAAGCTGCATTAAGCTCCTCAAGCACATCAGAAATCCCAGAAGTCACGTGATCCGTCAAAAAGTCAAGACTTTTAAAATGTTAATAGCCAGCAAACGAGAAACAATGAAAATGTGAATCAAACAGTAAAACTGCTTGAGCACAAGATGGTTTTGTTCCGTAAATGTTTCTTATTACCTGGGCTCGTATTTCTCTGTAAACATTGTGCTAATAGTCCAAATGAGCTCAGAGAGACCTCAGATGAATTATCAAAACACAAGGTTTAACTGACGCAGGCAAATGTGAGAGAACTCTAGGGATCGTCCAAGGGAACGCTCTTCGTTAACTTTAATTATACCCAATACACCATGTGCAAATTCAATTGAAGTGGGTCTATCACAGCTACACCAAACAAATGCTTGATTACACTGCGTAAACGCTCATGCACCTCAGGGTCTCCATGGCAAGGTGGAAATAGGCTGCTGAGACCTTGCTCGACCATAAATAACCTAAAGATGAGAGCTCAAAAACATAAAGCATAAAAATAATAATAAAATGTTGTTTTCTATACTAATAAATGTTGTTCTGTAATTTCTGATCCAAAAGTCATTTTGATATTTTTGTGGCGCTTTAAATGACTGGAGATTGTAATTCTTGAAATATGAAATGTTGGCATAAGTAGTTTGGCTTGTATGTACTGTGCATATATATGATATTTTATTGTTATTTTGTACAAATAAATGATTTAATCCTATTCAAATGTGTTCATAGTCATTTGTAGTCATTTGTACATAATATTATATCATATATAATATTATATTAATAATTATTTTTATTTATTAATTATTTTTAATTATTAATTATATTATATAATACACACACACACACACACACACCTATATATATACAGTGTGTGTGTGTGTGTGTGTATATATATATATATATATTTTAACATAATTTTTATGAAACAAAATCTTGGTATTCAAAAAAAATAACATATTTTAATGTTTTTGCTTAAACATTTTCCACAATCCAAACCAACAGCACTGAAATCACGTTTCTAAGAGCTATTTTATCACCCCGGACACAAAATAAAATCTAAATATAAATGAATATAAAATAAAATGATTAATTTAATGGTGAAAATGAATGAGTAGCTGTAATTATGTGATTGATTCATTGCATTTAATTATTCTTCTTGGCCCATCAAAATATCTTCCTAATGTGTAATTTACGCTTGTGATGACTGTACACTATAATGCAACACAATTTTATGTTTCCTTCGTTTGCCTAAAAAGTAACTAATTGCGTTCATGGCTAGCTCAGTCAGTAAAGGTGGGTCTGAAGCGTTAACGTATGTCTGCAATCCTCTTATTTTGTCCCTGACCAAGTATGGATTAGATTCATCCGCGGGTCACTTTCAAAGGACTTTCATTGAATAGAGAAACATCTAGGCCTCTTGATAATTTTGAGTGGATTAATTTCAAATCGCTTTTTATTTGATTTGATTATAAAATGTATTTAATTATTTTAAAGCTCGTCAAGGATTTCAGGAACTGAAAGGTAAAAACTGAACCCATATCGACAACACTATCGAGTAGTTGTACTGCAATATTCATAAGGGTGAAGCTGGAAAATGTTACTGAACGTTAGGTGTGAATTGTGAAAGGTGCAAAAGTGCACCTGGATTGATGACTGTAGGCTTAAGTAGCTCTCCAGGGTGCTGAAGTTGAATCTCGACGCCACTGACGAGCCTCATCAAACTCTTGTTTGTGAGCTGAGATCTACTCAACATTTGTTTATGCCCACTGCGCGACTGATGCTGGAGAACTCTATGAAGGATATAAATCGACCTTATAAAAGAAAACACTGGAGGAAAGAGGTAAAACTTTGTGAAAATGTGCACCAAGAGGCCCATATAAATAATGGTAAGTTCATTTTCTAAATTGCATTTTATGTAGCAATGTGTTTCAATTTGTTCACTAGCATAAATATAAGTGCAGATCAATTTGTAGTTTATTTATTTATTTGTATTTGTCCTGCATCAAAAATTTGGTAATGAAACAATTTTCACTCAGAAATTGCTAGTAAATATCACAAATAATTACAACAAAAGGAAAATAGCACATTAAACATGAAATTTGGAAAGACTGAAATGTTATTTATTTGTAAAATGTACTCCAATAATCAATGTTTTATTTACTAAATAATTACCTAAAATAATTTTTTACAGTGATTAGCAAAGCACAAATAAATCTTTTTCCCATGTCACAATAATTTCATGTAATTTCTACAACCATGTTCTAATCATTCAGAGTTCAATTATTAGATTTGATCAGATTTAACTCACATAACTTACATTTAAAATGAACTGCAGACTGTCGATTTGCAACTACTTTGATTTTTACTTAAAAATGTAACTTTAAGTTTTCAATTTTGGTGTGTTGAAATGAATTGTACAGAAAATATGCAACCTAGCTGTATGTAACAGATAAGCCTATTGAATATTTGGCCTTGAAAACTGATAAAAGTGTGCCATGACTTCAATTCATGTCTAACCCGCTGTTTTCTAGGTGTCTCTTTGTAATATCCATCTCTCATAACGTCTTCTGACGGAGGACAATGCAACATATTCACCTCCCATTCGGAGGTGCTTTATGGGAGTTATCCAGTTACCCCTGCTGCCTCGTTCTCAGGAGCAGACACAGCCTCTCTACGCTCCCATTTTACAGCATTACACTATGGATTATTCTTGGTGTGTTGACGTTCCCATGCTGTGTCCAATGCCTGATTTTCAAAGTAGGTGTCTTGGGGCCTTGGAACTGTGACCCTTATTACGCAAAATCACTTCCTGCCATTGCATCCAAACTGGCTGTTGGCCGCATAAACGAGGATTTTAGTTTAGATCTGGGCTGCACAATGGACTTTGTCATCCTTCAGGAGGCTTGTGAGACATCCAAAGCCTTGACCTCATTTGTACAATATGAGAACATGGTTGATGCATTTGTAGGCCCTACAAATCCAGGATACTGCAATGCTGCGGTGCTCATGGGCAAGAATTGGGACAAGTCTATATTTTCATGGGCGTGTATTAACTATGAGTTAGACCGGGTCCAGGGCTACCCAACATTTGCTCGAACTTTACCATCCCCGACACGGGTGCTTTTTAGTGTACTTAAGTTTTTCAGCTTGGCTAACATAGCCATCGTTTCTTCTAATGAGGATATATGGATCGACACGGCTGCCAAATTGGCTAGTGCTCTCAGAAACCAGGGGCTTCCTGTTGGCATCGTTGTGTCCATGGGGAATAATGACACCATGCTGGAGAACACGTTGCTGAGCATACGAAACGCAGGGGAGATAAAAGGTAAATTGTTTTGGACACATAGATTTGCAGTGTGTGCATAAACATTCCTTATATGTTGAGCGACATCTAGAGATTTGTGTTCCAGTAAATATTTCCCAGTATTTTTTAAGGTCAGTTTCTGTATAGACTTTTTGAGATGACAATGTTAAGCAGTAAAGCACAAGGCATCATACAAATAATAAACCATTGTTTTAACCAATAAATTGTATGATAATAATTAGATTAGATATATAAATGAGATATATTTAACAAGTAAAACATATAATTATATTTAAAACTGTATAATTACACTTTACTGTATATATTCTTCTATATTTAAAGTTATTATAATAAATACTAATATATTTATAATTATTTTCAAATGATAACTTTGAATGTTTGTCAATGTGTATTTCTCAGTATATCTTAAAGTCCCTTTCAGTCAGACTTTGAAGGCTTTTTAAAATGACTCTACAAAACAATTTAGGTAACAGCAAAAATGTAACATATCAAAACACAAACCATTGTTTTAAACAATTGGATACATTTCAAATTGAACAAACATGACAACTCTCCCTTGTCAACCTTTAATTATATATATATATATATATATATGTATATATACTTAATATTTTATACTATATTTAGAATTATTATCATACTAATGTATCTATAATTTTTTTAAAGAGAGAGAACATGGTATTTAAAACCAACAACACACAAAAACCACTGCTATCAAAATCCTGTAGTTACTGAAATAGATCATATAAGATTGAACAGATGATATCTGAAAGTTTGCTTCATCTCATCATTTCACTTTCTTTTGCTACAGTGGTCAAAAGGAGCTTTATCTCTAACAAACTAACAAAAAAGCATTTATTTAAACCTGTGCGTAAATGCATTCACTACATTTAGTACTCAATTAAAGATATTTATGTGAAACAAACATTCGTAAACATTTTCCTGCTTGTTAAAGTTTTTGTTTAAAGGTTTGTTCAATTTCTTCAACTGTCTTTTTAAAAATTAAGTAAAACATATTTTTAAAATTACGATTCAACGTGAATGAATTCATTTTTCATGTGTGTTTCAGTCATCATTATGTGCATGCACTCAGCACTCATTGGAGGAGAACAACAAACTTCATTCCTGATGAAGGCCTATGACATGGGATTGACAAAGGGTCAATATGTGTTTATACCATATGACACCCTTCTGTACAGCCTGCCCTACACCAACACCACCTACTTCCCACTGCAAAACAACACAAAACTGCGCAAAGCCTATGACGCGGTACTCACCATCACCATGGAGTCAGATCTGATGTCATTCAACGAAGCGTACAATATGGCCAAACGACTTGGAGAACTGATGGTGTCACAAGAGCCAGAGCAGGTGTGCACTTTGAAACATTTGTGAGTCTTATTTGTACACATGCATACAACTCTACTTTAAAATGTTCTGCTACATTTCAGGTCTCTCCGCTCTTTGGTACAATCTACAACAGTTTGTACCTCCTTGCCAAGTCCATGCACAATACCAGAAGAGCTGGTAAGTGGTTTTCCGGGTCCAACCTGGCTTCCTTCACGAGTAACATTACATTTTCCGGATTCAACCAGAATATCCGCACGGATGGCCAAGGGAACGGGCAAACCGACTATGTGATCTTAGACTCTGATGGCTGGGGATCTGAACTGTATCGCTGCTTTTATGTGAACCTGACGTTAGATAAGGTGCTGTTTGCCGGCACGTACATTAATTTCCCTGCAGGTTCCCCTCCACCTTCAGACTCCAGCTGCTGGTTTGACCCCAATGCCATCTGCACAGGAGGTACAACAAACCCACACAAACTCATACTCATTTTACACAGTGTTGATCAATGAGAAACAGATATTTGACTTTTAATGGTGTCAATTTTTCAGCTTAAAAGTCACCAGCATTCCTATTATTATTATTATAAAAAAATAATTACATTACAATTCAAAAATTTTAAGAAATGTTATTAGTTATTTTATGATCAATATTAAATATTATTATTATTATTCTTTTAAGAAATATTTTAAAGAAAATATCGGATTAATTTTTTTTTTTACAAATAATAAATAACATTTTTAACAGAAATAATCAATTAAAATGAATAATTACAATTAAATTATAGTTACATTAGCATCTCTCTCTCTCTCTCTCTCTCTCTCTCTCTCTCTCTCTATATATATATATAAGCACTGTAAAAATAAAATGAATATCTTTATGCTCAATATTGTGTTGTAAATAATCATTATTAAACATTGTTATTTTTATTATTATTCAAAGCCAAATAGTTTAAAGAAATAATTAAATAAAATTACATTCAATAATTTAAATTAAACAGTAATATTTTATTTTTAATCATGCTAACAATTATGACGTTTGCTATTTTCATATGATCATTGTCACAGTCACATCATAACTGCATCATTTTATTATTATTATTATTATTATTATAAAAGTCAAATAATTAGCATAAAATAATTAAAATTTTAGTATGACTTTAGTATTTTTAAATAATCACTTTTAACTGATGCTTATGATATTATGTATAATTAGTAACATATGCTATGCATTTGTTGACTAATTTATTCTTTTTTGTTTTAGGTGTGGAAATTATATATGTTGTTATAGCGTTTGTGATCGTTCTCATTATGGTTCTTGGTTCTATTGGTCTAAGTCTATTCATAAGGTAATATTGCTGTGGTTTTGATAAGATCCTATGATTTTTTTCATTTTATGAATATATAGAAGATACAAGAAGTTGTGCATGAACTTGTCTGATCTTTGTAGGAGGCGAATCCAACAAATCCAGCTGATCAAAGGGCCCAACAGAATCCTGCTTACGCTTGAGGACCTGACCTTCATCAACCCTCAGCTGAGCAAGAGAGTATGCGTCACCTTACCAGCTGCTTTCTTTAAACATTAAGGTCTTTTTTTTGTGAAAATTTTATATTATATTTTCTATGTGTAATCTCTTTGCTCACAGAAAATCACCCTTGAAGATCTTTGTGATTCAAAAAGTTACATTGAGGAGAAGAGCACAGGTGAACGTTCCCGCTCTGTGAATAGCATGGCAACAGCAACACATGAAACTTCAAACGTGGCTGTCTATGAGGTGATTTTATGAGTCATTTCATTTTATTTATTGAGCACACCATGTCATTTCAACTTGACACAATTTAAATCATTTTGATATTTGCAGGGCGACTGGGTGTGGCTAAAAAAGTTTAAGGAGGGAGACTTCAAAGAGGTTAAACAGAGCACCACTAAGATCTTCACCAAGGTATGGTTCAAAACACTAATTTAAAGCTAACAGTTTGGTATGAGCTTGTTCTTTGAGTGACACTTCCTATCATCTTTATAATTCCCAGATGAAGGACCTACGGAATGAAAATGTCAATCCATTTTTGGGGTTCTTCACCGATTGTGAGATGTTTGCCATTGTGACTGAACACTGTTCACGGGGGAGTCTACATGACCTCCTCCGTAATGAAGATGTCAAACTGGACTGGATGTTTAAATCCTCCTTAGTGCTGGATCTCATCAAGGTACTTTTGAACATTTTGATGAATATTAAGGTAAAAATGCAGACTTCTAATGATCTCCAGATTATTTTCAAATGCATTTATAATGTCCTTATATATATCTTTGTCGACGTTAAAATCTGATGGTTTCTGGTACCATCCAATAGGGCATGAAATATCTTCACCACAGGGAATTTCCTCATGGGCACCTGAAGTCTCGTAATTGTGTAGTAGATGGACGTTTTGTCTTAAAGATCACTGATTATGGTTACAATGAGATTCTTGAGACCCAGAAAACTCCAAAGGAGACCCCACCTCTAGAGGGTATGGGTGTTTGTTTTTAAAAAATCTGGTTTATTTATAATGCAAATCTCACTTTTATTCCATCTAATTCTCTGATATTAAACAAAAGCATGATAAGGCAATTATTTGTCATTCAGATCTATTCTGGACAGCTCCTGAATTTCTCAGAGACCCTGAAAGTCCACGGAAAGGAACTTATAAAGGAGATGTGTACAGTTTTGCAATTATACTTCAAGAAGTAGTGGTCAGAGGAGCGCCGTACTGCATGCTCGGCTTGTCTCCTGAAGGTTAGTTATAAAGACAGTCTACGAGATCTACTGCTCTTAGTTTGATGAACCAGCTTTATAGTAAACAGGCTGTTACAACAGTAACTGGACTGGTATTATCAGTGAAATTTGGCATCTCTTTATAAGCAAAGACATGATTATTGTATCAACAGAGATAATAAGGAAGGTGAAGAAACCTCCGCCTATGTGCAGGCCCACTGTAGCTCCAGATCAAGCTCCACTGGAATGCATCCAGTTAATGAAGCAGTGCTGGAGTGAACAACCTGATAGAAGGCCTCCTTTTGAACAGATCTTTGATCAGGTGAGTTTTGAGTAGTCGCTTTTGGAGTTTATTGAGTGCATTGGCTGACAGAGTAACAAACTTAGGATCTGAGGAGCTTTGTAGTTTTTAGAATGGTTGCTTGCTTTGTGTAATGATTTTACAGTATATTGTGCCAGCCATTTAATTTATTTTATTTTATTTTTGTTTTGTTTTATTTTATTTTGTGTTATTTGATGTATTTTTATTATTATTATTTATAAGTTTTTATAAATAACTTATAAATAATAAGTATTTATAAATTTAAGTTTTTTAAAAAATAAATTAATACTATTATTCAGCAAGGATGCATGAAATTGATCAAAAGTGACGATAAAACATGCATAACGTTACAAAAAATTTCAGATATTTCAAATAAATTGTGTTTGAATTTTCTATTCGTCAAAGAATACTGAAAAAAAAGTATCATGGTTTCCACAAAAATATTGGTAATAATTAGAAATGTTTCAAATCAGCATATTAAAATGAATTTGGAAGGATCATGTGACACTGAAGACTGGAGTAATGACAGCTGAAAATTCAGCTTTGCCATCATATGAATAACTTACATTATATTAATATATAATATATTAAAATAATTATTTTACATTTATTTTATTTGATAAAATATTGATTTTATTTATTTGAAAGTTATTTTAAGTTTATTAATAGATATTTTAAATTGTAAATATTTTACAATATTACTGATTTACTGTCATCTTTAATCAAATAAATACACATTTTAATCAAATAAATACAACCTTGGTAAGCGTAAGAGAAAATCTTGCCAACCCCAAACATTTGAACATTTGATATAGTGTATTTATATATTTTAATTCCAATACGACAACATACATCTCACTGGATAGCTTTGCATCCAATTTTCATGTTAAAGGCACTTTAATTAAAGTTTCTCGGCAAAGGTCTAAAAGACAACTATATTAAAAAGAATGATTTTTTATTATATTCAGTGATAATGGCTTCTTATTTTCTGTTCTCAGTTCAAGCTCATTAACAAGGGCAAAAAGACCAATATTATTGACTCCATGTTGCGTATGCTGGAGCAGTACTCCTCTAACCTGGAGGACCTTATCAGGGAAAGAACGGAGGAGCTGGAGGTAGAGAAACAGAGGACGGAGAAGCTTCTGGCTGAGATGCTTCCTCCGTGAGTATATGTTTTCATACACCAACACACTTCTCACATACTTCATTTTATTTTCTCCAGCAAGACATGTTCCTGGATCAACATCTATGTCAAATTAAGCTTCATGTCAATTTTCACTCACAGTTCTGTGGCAGAAGCTCTGAAAACCGGTGCCTCCGTGGAGCCAGAGTACTTTGATCAAGTCACCCTCTACTTCAGTGACATTGTAGGCTTCACCACCATCTCATCCCTAAGTGATCCAATTGAGGTTGTGGACCTGCTCAATGACCTTTACACCCTATTTGATGCTGTGCTGGGCAGCCATGATGTCTACAAGGTAAGCTTGGATGTCTGAGTCAACATGCCGAACAGCACTGGATTTCCATGAAAAGCCAATTAACTCTTCTTTATCACAGGTTGAAACCATTGGAGATGCCTACATGGTGGCCTCCGGGCTGCCGAAGAGGAATGGCAACAAGCACGCAGCCGAAATCGCCAACATGTCCCTGAACATTCTCAGCTCCGTGGGCACCTTCAAGATGCGGCACATGCCAGACGTTCCGGTCAGGATACGGATCGGCATTCACTCAGGTGAGCACTCAATCTCCAGCTGTTTTCATCCGCTTAGTGGTACTGTTATGGAAAACCTCTTGTGATGCTCATGTAATCTTTTGACATTAAATTTCATTGTCCAAATCTCTACTTCTCGTCCCTCATCCTATCATGTTTCTTCTCTATCCAGGGTCGTGTGTTGCTGGAGTTGTGGGTCTAACTATGCCTAGATACTGCCTTTTTGGAGACACAGTCAACACCGCCTCTCGTATGGAATCTACAGGGTTGCGTATGGTCCATTCAGATATTTTTCTTTACAGATGTGATATACTAACTCATGATGTACTGTAATGAGAAGATGCATCAATAAACATTATTTCCTTCAGCTTACAGAATTCATGTGAACATTAGTACAGTGAATATTCTCCGCTCATTGAACGATGGCTACCAAATAGAAGTTCGAGGAAAGACTGAGCTAAAGGTACTAACACAAATGCTTGATTGTAAGAATCATAACACACTAGAGAACTGTTTTCAAAATTGATAATAATAAGAAATGTTTCTTGAGCTTGATAGCATATTAGAATGATTTCTGAAGGATCATGTGACACTAAAGACTTCAGCTGAAAACTCAATATATATTTATATAGAAAACAGTTATTTTAATTGTAACAATATTTCACAGTAGTACTGTTTTTATTGTATTTTTGATTAAATAAATGCAGCCTTGGAGAGCATAAGGGACTATTTTCAAGAACATTAAAAGAAAACTTACCAACCCCTAACTTTTGAACAGTAGTTTATGCACTGACTTACCTTTTATTTTTATTGTTGTTACTGTTTTTATTTTTTATTTTTTTAATGTATTTTTTAGGGGAAAGGCATTGAGGAAACATACTGGCTTGTTGGGAAAACTAATTTTACTAAGCCTTTGCCAAAACCACCAGAGATCAAACCAGGGTAAGATTTTAATAATTATATTTATTTATTATTATTATTTTTTTTTTTTACAGTATTTTAAATAAACTTAGCATGTTATACAAATAAGTGTGGCCTTTTCATTATATTCCACATTATTTTACTGGCTATAAATTGTATTTTACTGCACCACTTTCCAAATAATTTGCACTTTTAGATTAATTTTGTGGTTTAGATTAATTCTCTTTGTACTTATGAATGGGATACTATTGGATAATTGGATTTATGCATCAGGGAAGACAATCATGGTTTGAGACCTGAGGACATTGAGGCTTACAGGAGAAGGAAAGCTGAGAAAAAGGCATGAACCCATAGCCTTTTGCAAGGAGGTAGTACCTTGCCTGCTGTGCTGTATTTGTCATGTGGTTAGGGTGCTTTCTGGTGGGTTTGTGCCGTGATGCTGTTCATTGTGGTGTTGGACTTCTTGCTTATCCACTTATTTGTGCATGTTGTGTTTTTCTGCAGTTTTTATGAAATGCATCTCTTGCCAAAGTCCAAAAATGATCTACAATTCTGTCTGTCATCATAACTGATAGCTTTCTAAATCACTTCTCATCTTTTAGAGATAACTGGCAAGACATGGTGACGGAGGAGATCAAGTCATTATTTCGCAAGGCCAACAGACAAGTGGACAAGCCCAAAATCTGAGAAGCACAAGGAAGGATGCTAAAACGGACAAAGAAGGAAAGATACATGACAAGTTGCATGGGAGAGAAACAAAGGACAACACAAGCATGTGTGTTTCACTGCAGCTTACAAAGACTACTTTAATAGGATTGGTTGTCGTCTGTCTAATCCGACTCTGCCCAGCGCAGCAGAAACAACAGCGCTAATGAAATGGCAGCTGAGGAACAAGTAGTCAGTGAAAGTGTATTTCTTTCCCAGTCTAACACTGTCACAGAGTGGCCCAGTATGTATGGTACGTTTGGGTTTTTTTCACAGGTGTTTCGCATTTTGCATTCTCAGATATTTGTAACTCATGTTGGAGCTTTAATTGATTTTCTTTGATCTTCTCTAACCAAAAAACAATGTAGTGACATAATCAGATTTGGCCAGGCTTAGTGGACATCTGCTGCAATGGCCAGATGGGATATTCTAGCATTGTTTATACAAAAGCCAAATTGATCGAGGCTGGTGATTACAAATGTAAGGCTGCTGTACGTTGTCTCTGGACTCATGAAATTGTGAAATATGACTGTGTTGATGCTGAGTAAGAAGTTGCTTAAAAGAAATTACAAAATGGAATGCAATAACTCTGTGAATTGTTCATTTACGCAAAAATATTTATTTATACTATGCAGAATATTTATTAGTTGTACCTTCCAATACATTTAGAAAACTGGGCAAAACTGATACTGCTTGTAAATTACATCTAAAATCAGACTAATCAGTTTAATACAGGGTCCTGACTCTCTCCGATGAAGCACATGTGCTTGTACTGGATATAATGAAATGTTTAAGATGCTGTGCAGTTTAAGTTGTATTAAACATGTAGGCTGGGTTTGTCTGAGAGGGATTGACTGCCTTACATAAGCTGTTTATGATAACTTGCATTTTCTGTTAATCAAACCTATCAGGCAAAGCCTGGGTGGCATTTTTAATTAGAATTTTTCCGACTGATCTCATTTTCTGGGAGTCAATGTCAAGGCCAGTCAGATCTCAAAAGGCCTCTCTGTAATAGTTCAGTTTTGCACTCCTAGCATTTTTAAATGGTCTGTTAAACATGTATATAAATACTGTACAATATTATATACTATAATTGTTACATTTCATGAGCAATTGTATGGATAAAGATAGCAGTAGCAGGAGACTTTAAACGTTCAATTTCATGCTAGCAAAAGACAATGTTGTTCTGATGCTGTACAGACAATAACATGCTTAGCTGAACAAGTCATTCTTTTACCATTTTTTGTTTCTTCTTGCATTATATAGGCTATAATGAAAGCGAAACAATAATCTCAGTAAACAATAATTTCCATCATTTCAAAACAGACTCTTCAAAACAGTGGCATTTTTAATTATAATTTTTCCGACTGATCTCATTTTCTGGGAGTCAATGTCAAGGCCAGTCAGATCTCAAAAGGCCTCTCTGTAATAGTTCAGTTTTGCACTCCTAGCATTTTTAAATTGTCTGTTAAACATGTATATAAATACTGTATACATTTCATGAGCAATTGTATGGATAAAGATAGCAGTAGCAGGAGACTTTAAACGTTCAATTTCATGCTAGCAAAAGACAATGTTGTTCTGATGCTGTACAGACAATAACATGCTTAGCTGAACAAGTCATTCTTTTACCATTTTTTGTTTCTTCTTGCATTATATAGGCTATAATGAAAGCTAAACAATAATCTCAGTAAACAATAATTTCCATCATTTCAAAACAGACTCTTCAAAACAGAGTCACCTGATTCACGGTTTCTTAACTGTGTGACACAAGAAAAGCAGCAGCTAGAAAATTTGTTTAACTTAGGCTACCGATGTCACTCATATCAGCATATCAAGGCAAGCACCAATTTATCGTTCTTGTTTCTATGATGAACACTATGGAAGCATATAGGTAGCGAAATTCAATTTAAAATGCAATATTCAAAATGGCAACGCAATATTCAAAATGGCATTGTATTTCTGTATTTAAACTTACATTTTCCATTACCCATACGTGCAAAGTTTGGCACAAAAGCAAAATGAAAATTAAATTTTACAATTTACATTTACCATTTCCAACAGTAGTCTTAATATGTAAATTGCATGCACATTTGAACGCTTTATAAGTTGCGCAATGAAAATGAAAATGTATAACACAAATTGATTTGATATGTGTAACATGTCCAAGCAGAAATGGTAGCATAATGATCATTTACATTTTTAGAATGGCGATTTTTTTTCGATATATGAATAAACTAAGGTATGTGTTGCTAACGAAACAATAATCTCAGTAAACAATAATTTCCATCATTTCAAAACAGACTCTTCAAAACAGAGTCACCTGATTCACGGTTTCTTAACTGTGTGACACAAGAAAAGCAGCAGCTAGAAAATTTGTTTAACTTAGGCTACCGATGTCACATATAGGTAGCGAAATTCAATTTAAAATGCAATATTCAAAATGGCAACGCAATATTCAAAATGGCATTGTATTTCTGTATTTAAACTTACATTTTCCATTACCCATACGTGCAAAGTTTGGCACAAAAGCAAAATGAAAATTAAATTTTACAATTTACATTTACCATTTCCAACAGTAGTCTTAATATGTAAATTGCATGCACATTTGAACGCTTTATAAGTTGCGAAATGAAAATGAAAATGTATAACACAAATTGATTTGATATGTGTAACATGTCCAAGCAGAAATGGTAGCATAATGATCATTTACATTTTTAGAATGGCGATTTTTTTTCGATATATGAATAAACTAAGGTATGTGTTGCTAACATATTGTTAAGTAAGGACTACAACTTTATAATATTTGAGCTTTAGAATTGAAAACACTAATTAGCAACTTGTTAGCTTTAAGCGGTTTTTTTATTTAATAATTTTATCTATATAATATTATTATATAGTAAATAGGCATATAAGTAAAAAGGTGTTGAGACAAAGGCCTATGTGTGTGGTTTGTTTATTATTCTCAATCAGTTCTCGATTCTCAAATGTAAAATGTTTGAGAACCGGAAGTCTTTTCTGCAGTTTTGTTGCTTACCACAAGATGGCCCTGTTGTAAAGGTTTTGTTCTGTGGACCAACCTAAAGCAAGGAAACCGTACAGTACTTAAACCAGTTGCTTTCATCTTATGAATATTATGCTCATTACATAAAGTCGGCTGGGTTATCCTGGCAAGGTTTAGGCCAACACGTTGGTTATTTATCTTGACAAACTCCTCTTTGACTATTTTCTTAGCCTCTCCTGATTGTCCATCTCACCATGCAAGCCCTTGACTCCAGCCTAATCCCTATTGTATGCGTGCACTCATTGGCTCATTCAGTCTAGAGCAGTGGTTCCCAACCCTGGTCCTGGAGGCACCCCAACACTGCACGTTTTGCATGTCTCCTTAATCAAACACACCTGATTCAGGTCATCATCTCATTAGTAGAGACTCCAAGACCTGAAACTGGAGTGTCAGAGAAAGGAGACATGCAAAATGTGCAGTGTTGGGGTGCCTCAAGGACCAGGGTTGGGAACCACTGGTCTAGAGGATGGATCTGCTAGTGTCAAAGGAAATAGCTATTTTCTCACGTCAAAACTCCTCTTTCTGGTTTATGGTGCCATAAAGACAGTAGGGTGTCTGGGAGATCTGTGTGAATTAACAGGTGAGGAGGTGAGACAACACTTTAAGCCCTCAGTGGAATAAACACACAGCTAAAGCTCCACATTCCAGAGGGTTGACAAAACAAACCAGGCGGAATGACTGGGATTAAACTGTTAGGATTGACAGAGCAGTAGACTGTGCTGTGCTTTTATCTGTCATTATTATTGTCAGTCATTCAGGATAGTGTGACTTTTATTTAATTTTAGATTTGATTTATGTACTCATTTTATGTATTATTTTAGATATTATGGATTTATTTAATGTTTTAATATATTTTATGGATTTATTCATTTATTATTACTTTAAACAAAAAATACTAGGACAATATTTTAAATTTCAGTTTATTGGGAAAAACAGCAGAATGATATAAAGGGAAAAAATCAGCACACTTTCTCAAAAGATTCTATATGGTAAAGACATGCTGAAAAATAACATCTAACAAACTGGAGACAAGCATCAATGCAGGAGAGGTTTTTGTTGGATGGAAGTGAAATCATAGAACCTACCAACTGTGCTTGAGAAACACTTGAAAAGGACCTTTTCCCTTTAAACATTAAAGATAAGGCAAACCCTACGCAGATGTCACATACTCATAAAGAGAGGCTCTACAAGCACAATAATAAATACCACAGCTTAACATCAACTACACTATGCTTAATATAAGTATAGTGTCTGATTGAATAATACACATGAACTAATTGATGTCAAACCTCTGGTAACATTTGTAGGGCTCTAATTCCACACCTATAGGATTGCATTGCTCCTGATGTTTACAACTAGTCTCCTTAAAAATATGTTTTTGTACTGACAGGTTCACTGTGATTGCCCATACACAGATAATCCATTGGAATGGCCACTCGAGGTAACAGTCACACCATTAATAACAATAATACCTTTTTAAAATATCATAAAATTCAAATAGCCTGAAAGTTACAATTCATCTCTCATTTTATCACCCTTAGGCCGGACTAGCCTGCCCATAAAAAGAATGGAGTTGGTCTTGATGTCTTTCACAAGGAAAATGAAGGGATGGTCGGCGTAGAAGAGCTTCGGGTTCCTGATCTTCTCGCTACCATAAATGCTGGTGTCAAATGGGTTTCCCTCTGTGTCCCACTCCAAGGCAGAGGCATGGAAGACATTGGCGAGGTAAAGATCTTTCTTGCCAGAAATGTTGGACAGGTCTGCCTTAGACTTGTCCACAGCTTCAGTGAGACCAAGTTCTGCAAGATGTTTCTGCAAAGCAAGAGAAAAGAGCCTCATATATCATACAGAAAATATTGGTTGTGGTTATATAGCAACTATATAGCAAAAATCAGCCATATTTACCTGAAGGTCGTGGCTGACTTCCATGCTAACTTTAGGCAGAGATATGGCGACTGCTCTCTCCTCAAGCTTGCTGACCCAGGTGTCCAGCTGC